CAGACTGAAAAATGAAATGGAAAATTAATCCAAGCACCAAGAGACAAATATCATTGAAAAGAATCCTTTTCTTAAAATCTCTATTTACGTCAAGTGGCTTTATTGTCATTCCGACCATGTGCAGTGGTACAGTGCACACTGAAATAAGACAACGTTCCTCCAAGACTATGGCGCTACACATGACATATAACAGACAGTCAACACAGGACTAGATAAGGTACAAGTGTGCAAAAAATGCAAAAGCCTGAGCATTGTGCAAAAAATAACTTGGTGTATGAAGGTATGCATGTGTGTCAGTCCAGCTGCTGAGTGTTCAGGAGTCTGACGGCTTAGGGGAAGAAACTGTCTCGCAGTCTGGCATTGAGGGCCCGAATACTTTTTGCCAGAAGAGTGTGTGTGATGGGTGTGGGGGGTCCTCCACAATGCTGGTGAGTTTGTGGATGCAGCAGGTGCGATAGGTTTCTGTGATGGCGGGAAGTGAGGCTCCAAAGATCTTCTCAGCTGCTCTTACTATCAGTTGTAAGGTATTGTGATCTGATTCCGTGCCGTTACCTTACCAAACAGTGATGCAGCTACTCGGGACGCTCTCGATAGTCCCTCTGTAGAAGGTCGTGAGAATGGATGGTGGGAGATGGGCTTTTCTCAGCTTCCACAGGAACTAAAGACCCTGTTGGGCCTTCTTAGTTATGGAGTTAGTGTTGAGGCACCAGGAGAAGTTCTCTGCCAGGAGAACCATGTGGTGGTGATTGTGTCATCCAAAATAGAGGGAAAGTAGTTACATATTTTTATACAATTTGTTGTGTAACTATTTTTTAGAGGTTAGCCTGTCACATGTTTGCTTCTAATAATACAGAAAACATGATTTATACTATCAGGTGTTCCTTCTGTAGTGTAGACACTGAGGTATTGTTTTTTTAGCCGATCAGCACCAAAACCCAGTGGGTTCGCTCTCTGGTTAGAGTTCACCTCTCTTAGAACTTGTTGCACAATCATATTTACAGTAAGATAAACTTAATTAATTCACTTCACTTATATTTATATAAGAGTCACAATAGCAGTCACATCAAGGCACTTTATATTATAAGCTAAAGACCCTACAGTAATACAGAGAAAACTTCTGGCAGAACCGCACTCAGTACGGGGTAGCCATCTACTACAGGAGGGGGACAGGTCATAAGATGCCAGATGAGAGTGAAAAGAGATGGATGAAGAAGCACTCACTCATAGGAGGCTTCCAGTATTTTAGCCTAATAGATCTATGTTAAATGAAGTATCCTAATATCCAAGTTCACTGTCAGTAGGATTTTCCTAGATGTGATCAACGAGCTAAATTTTTGTTTTTCTGTGATTCCAAGTTGAGCTACAGGGTCCGGCCTCCACACCATTCACAGGTTTCCTATTGATCATTATCTTCGTTCATAAAACAAAGAGAACCGCAGACAATTCCAACATTAAACTGTGTTTAAGGTGCACTGATGCTGATTGCCTAGATGACCACGGGAACATTGGGAATGATGGTTGCCCAATATCTGGAAAAAAAAAAATGGCTAAAGGAACGAGAATGTGCAACAAAGATCTCTGGTTTGTGGTGAGACATCATGGACAAAACAATGTATTATTATGTCCTTTCTGCATGAAACCAAAGCTTTTGCAAACCAAATTATAAACACTTAGTCATATGAAATGTACATTCTAGATGCAAACACACTCACAAATAACAAGTTTTATTGTAGATTATTTTTGCAAACACACTAAGAAAATAGTAAGTATGATATCCCAGATGTGTTAGACTTGTAAGGCAGTTGGTCCAGTATTAACCCTTTTTGGAGCAGCTGATTTTGTATATGTTTGGTTGTCTTAATATCATGTTGTATTCTTTGTGTTCATCCAGGTCCATGTTGGGATAATGTGTCTGACAGTAGCTGCCACAATCACTGCTTTCATTCTTGCTTTCTCGCATGCTAAGCACTGGTCTGGGGTTAGTACATGGATTTGTTGTGTTTTTCATTACAGGCCAATCAAATGACAAAAATAGGTTTACCTGTGTAACACACTATTATTTTCCAGTAAATAATGATTTTTATGATATGCACTTGGCCCGAGTATTGAAGTTCACAATAGTTTTGGTTGTAATCACTAAATACAAATTATTTTTATTTAAAATATGAATGCAAATACCCTTCAGATTATATTTTGCCACCAGTTTTAATACCAGTTTTTAAATGCAACATGTAAGTAAAGTGAAAATTTATTTATGTTGCACCTTTTTAAGAAAAATATCACAAATATGATCAAATGTAATGATAGATACAATTGGGTTATACCTGTGTAACACGCTATTAATTTTCAGTAAATGGTAAAAGGCCTGTATTTGTATAGCGCTTTACTTAGTCCCTAAGGACCTCAAAGCGCTTTACACTACATCCAGTCATCCACCCATTCACACACACATTCACACACACTGGTGATGGCAGCTACATTGTAGCCACAGCTGCCCTGAGGCGCACTAACAGAGGCGCCTCAGGGCAAATAATTTATACGAGTTGTTTTTATGATATGAATTTGATCCTAGTGATGGCTTTGGCTGTAATCATTAAAACGAGAAAACAAATTGTTATTCAATATAAGAATGGGTGGCTGTAGCTCAGGAGGTAGAGCAGGTCACCTACTGATGGGAAGGTTGGAGGTTCGATCCCAGGCTCCTCCAGTCTGCATGCCAAATATCCGTGGGCAAGATACTAACCCCAATTTGCTCTCCGATGCATCCATCGGAATATGAATGTGTTTGAGTGTAGTTAGAAAGCACTCAGTATAGAGGTAGTGCTTGTGAGAATGGGAGTGACTGGGTGAATGTGGCGTGTTGTATAGAGCGCTTTGAGTACTCCGGGAGAGTAGAAAAGCACTATATAAGAATCAGTCCAATTACTCTCCTAATTATGTTGTGAGACATTTACATGTTTTTTTTTTTTTTTTTTTAGTGTATAGTTTTTAAATCCTAAATATAAGTAAAGTAACTGTTAAACATTGTAATATAATACAAGCTAGAGGCAGAGATAATATACTGGATGTTATTATTGAGTGACTCTTATTAATATTAATGGTAATTATTAAAAATTGCCAGGCAACATTTTCTTGGGTTTACAGCCAAATGTTGCACCTCTTTAAAATCAAACTATGATTTTAAGGTTTTATTTCTCCTAATATTATTTAAACAGGGCCGCATGGTGGCACGGTGGTTAGCACTGTTGCTGCACAGCAAGAAGGTCCTGAGTTCAATTCC